ACAAATTTTTGTCAAGATTTTGCAAGCAAGTTCTTTTGAGAACTTGTCAGTTGTTACAAGTATGGTATGTTAACCACCCCCCCCCCCAAAAAAAAAGCTCATGAATGAACTAACTTTGACTAGCATATTCAAATCACAATTTTTTTTTTATTTCGTAGTTGCAACATTTTACTCTTCTACAAGAATTACATGAAAACTAAAATAATTTTAGGTGCAACTGTGGTCGTTGCCCCCAATGACTACTATTGCCGAGTCTGTGTGCTGTCAGGAAATACCACAAGTAATGACTGTACTTGAGGAGGATCCCGGGAAGCCATGCATCACAGAGCATAATGGTTTCCAACCAATCTGTCTCAATCCATCAGTTCTACGTACTGCATACTATGTGTATCGACAACAGTATGGAGTACTCCCCGAAACAAATCAGTTAGTACCATTGTCATTTGAAATGCAGACTTTAATTTGAATATTGTTCAGTATAAAAATAAAAAGATTTTTGAAATGATTGAGGACAAAAAAAAAACTAAAGTCAGGTTTCATCAGTTCAAAAATCTTTAATAAATGAGACAACATTAAAATATATAATTATTCCATGAGATCAAGAGTAAAAACTTTATACATGTATATAGATTTATATCATGCCTGCATGAATTGTAGATTCCATAGATCAGAAACTAATTTATATATACCGGTACATGTATATCAAACAAAGTACCATTAAAAGTCAAAACGAAGCGTACAAAATTCACAACTCAATAGTAAATTAAATGCATTAACAAAGCAATAAGAAAAAAAACTGTAAAATTAACTGAACAATTCAACATACCCCTACAAGATGTACAAAAGTAAAAAAGTAAAAAACAATGCAAGATTAATCTATAGCCAAAAGGCAAGTACTTGACCTTGAATAAACAGCAAAGATTAATCAAAAAATGAGATTTAACTGAAAAGGCATAGATAAAACAAACAAAAAAAAAACAGACTAGATAACAATAATGAAAATAATTTTAAAAAAATCATAACAACAGACATCAACAATATGAAATAACTGAAAATTCATAAATAAAACTGACAAGATAACAATTGTCTATTACAAAAAGTAATCAAAACAGGAAATTAAAAACAAAATTAACTTAAAATACATAAACAACAACAGTAATAATCAATAACAATCTTCAGCGTACATATGCCCTAACACATTAGATAGTTACAAAAATATAATGAAAGGAGTAGTGGATTTTTTTCATAAAAAACCGTTTTAATCTTGTAACGTTTTACAGGCGGATTTGCAACATAGGGTACAAGCAACTGGCTAGATGGTGCTGGTGATGGTTGGGGAGACAAGTGCGTGTACCACTTCCTGTTTGTGCAGTCCAGAAAATCCGTGACACTTATCAAGAGGAAGATGGTGCATACCAAGGATTCCGCATTGCCTAATTCCTCCCGAACCATGTCAGCAGCTGACCCACTGCATCGTCTATCTCCGGGTGTACATACTGGTCGCACAGTGGCGGTGGCGCAACTCCAGGGTCCTCACACTGTGGCATCTTCATGTTGATGGCCCTTGTCTAAGCAGCATTTGTAAGGACATCGACTTACTCTGTCCATTAAATCTAAATGACCATATGTTAAACTTAAATATCTGTATGTACTGAGTATATATTTATCTATTATCTGTGATATTACAATGAAGATATAAAATAAGTTTACCATAAGTACTTTGCGTCTTGACCTTCTTCAGAGTGAAGCCCCCTTTTTGTGCTTTGAATAAACAATGCTGCATTGAAGATTCCCCACTCTTGTGGCTGCCTGATCCTTACTCGAATTCTCATTGAAGTGAAGTGCTGCTAAGGCCAAGCTATAATTGAAAACAGTTTATTAATAATTTATTTATAGATCATATAATTTCCTGTATGTCACTGTCTCTTTTTATTGACTGAGTACCGTAGCGTATATAAATGGTAAAAGTATTTTTCAAGAAGCAAGACAACATACCGATTTTGCATTCCAAAGTAGGAGAACTAATTCATCTTGGGCGCAAATTGATTGATGACTGAATGGAATGCCTCTACACTGGAAGTTTGAAATAACTAATAAGTCCCAGGCTTTCTGATATCATTGAACGCTGCTTTTTTCTATGAAAATGGAATTCGTAAATTTACTTATCTGGTCATTTGCAAAACTATTTTGTTAAAACACATTCTGATTGCACACACAAGTAATCTGAAGTTGACATTTAAGAGATACATGTAATTTAGATTCTGATTCTGTTGTTTTTGGAGACAAGGTATTCTAACAATCTATTGGAATTCCCATGGGCACTAAATGCGCTCCGTTATTAGCAGACCTATTTTTATATTCAAATGAAGCAAAATTTGTGCACAATCTTATGCGTGAAAAAAGAAAAAAAAACTTGCTGTGGCCTTTAACTCGACTTTTAAATATATCGACGACGTAATGTCAATTACCAATAGTACATGTAATTTCTTTTCCTATGTTTTACTTGAAAAGACGTTTATGATAATCTAAAAACCAAGCTCTATGATAAACGTGATGACTTTAACATTTCTATCGTCAACTTCCCCTACTTATGCAGCAATTTACCTTCATCACCTGCATACAGAGTTTATGAATCTCAGTTGACTCGATACGCAAGAGCATGCTCTACGTATGAACAATTTTAAAATGAGATATATTATTCTCAAGCAAGTTGATAAAACAAGAATATCAGCAGACTCGTTTCAAGTCATTATTTCGTAAATTCTATGGTCGATACAATGACCTTGTCAGCAAATACAATTTATCATTGATTCAAATGCTGACTATTGTAGTACATTATAAAGAATGTTACGAAAGTTCATTCCACATTTGTCTTTTATTTCCGTAAAGAAATGCAATTAGATATTTACAATTTGGGGTTAGTCCATTATTTATACACTGAATTGACAACTAATTTTCCGTCATTCCATGATCATGACAAGGAGCACACAGCGGGTGTGACCGGTCAGCAGGGGATGATTGCTCCTATCTCTGATGTTTTGGAGGTCCGTGTTTGCTCTGCACCTAATTTGTATTGTTTTATGGACTTTGAGATTGAATGCTATCTGTTGTCTCCATATCCTCCTTTTAATAACTACCGTATACACTTTAATGTTTCAAATGACTTATTCAAGATTGAGTTTCAATTTTCTTTTTATTGCTTTTCCATAGACCAATTTTTGTATATTAAATGAGAATGCAGTTAAAGTATACTAGACATATCCTAATTAAATCGAAAGAAAAGACACATTAAAAATGGCCAAATCTGTTTTACATTTGAATATTAATCCTCAGTTATTATGCCTTACAGAAATATTCACAGCTAAAAACTAGCTTTTATTATGATTTAGAAGTGGTGAAAATCAGAAATTTAAAATTGCCAATATTTACAAAGCCTTTAATGTCAAAACATACGACCTTTCAACATTTGATACAATTTCTCATAATGAATTGAAACCTAAGTATCTTGATATGAACAACTTTTTCTTGAATAAAAATTAAATAAAATGGGATAATATTGTAATACAAAGTAACAATACGATCAGGGCTCAAAAGGGCATGTCAAAACGGAAAATTTTCAATGTTTAAGAAAATAATAAAAACTAGAGCAAAGCTCGTTGCAAAGCAACGAGTAGGTCTTCCGTCCTGTTTTGACCGGAAGTGACGTCAACAAATGAAAGCAAATGAGCTAAGTGGTCACCATTGACTTTATAATTTTGATTTTGTATTTAAACCTTCAAAAATAAGCTATATTTGGCTACTTCCGGTCACTTCCGGTTTGACCGGAAGTGATGTCAACGGACAGAAAATGAAGTTTTATGCTTCCAGATACATATGTTACCCAAAAATATGTCAAGAACGGCAAAAATATGCATATTCTGACGACTTCCGGTATGACCGGAAGTGACGTCGCCGGACACATTTTGACGACTTCACCAGATTAAGCTTTACATTTTGAAAAAAATTGCTTTTTAGACGTATAACAAATTCTCAATACTTGTTGAGATATAAATGAAAAACTTTCGGCCCCTCTAGGCCCTTTATTTTAGGGGCCAGCCCTTTTTACGAGATATCATTTGAAAGACCATGTAATTCTACACTTCTTTTGTTCTATATGTCTTAACAAAATATTTGTATGTGAAAAGATATCGAAGAAAAGGTGTTAGAAATTTTAAGATTCTCGACATGCCCATTTTTGGACCATAGCGAGCGTCGGCGTGCAGCACTTCCGGTAAAAATGAAATGCGTATGTCACATCTACAGACATTGCTCTATCATTGCTCAAAAAACTCAAGTTTCTATCTTAAGCCGTTTTTGAGAAAACTCGCGGACAAACTGACCCCCTGAAAATCACTAAATCGCAAAAATCTCAAAACCGGAAGTGACGTCATCAAAACAAAAAATTATATATCAGCTTTGTTTAATGCTTTATCAGTCCTAAAAGTTTCATGAAAATCGAGCGAGCCGTTTCTGAGAAATCGTGTACACAAAATCGGTAAGAAAAAAAACAATAAAAATAATAAAAATAGTGGAAAAGAAACCTAAGAATAACAAGAAGGTCTTCCGCTGAAGACGGAAGACCTTAAATACTTTTAGACTTCATTTACATTATAGCTTTGTCTATAGACAAAAATGGTTTCGTTTACGGGATTAAAAAAAACGACAAACCCTGTTGTAGTTTAGATGTAATGTAAAAAAATGTTATCATGTTAAGCCCAAATGTTGTTGATATTGAAAATAGATTAAAACATAATCTTTAAGGCAATGTGAGTTTCACATCACAGAAACAATTTTTTTAAGGTAAAACAAAAATGAATAAATCTGTTAGTCTGAGGATCAAGGGAGGTTATGTAATCAGGTGAGCCTTGTGACCCATTGCTATGTAACTTGATATCATTAAGTCTTTTAAGTTTATTTTTTACAATATCTTGTTAAAAAGGATGAAATACATTGTATTTTGTAGAATGTAAACATGTAGATATATAAATCAATTATGGCAGAGAGAGAGTTACCACAGCACGATACAGATACAGGGGTAGATGTACATTGTAGACAATCAGGCTCCAGCACCAACTCATCCGAATCAGAACATTTACAATCAGAAAACTCAGAGACATTGACTGGTGTGTATAATTTTAATGACAAAGACTGCTACTTCCTCATGGTACCGTATTTTCATACATAAAAATCAACAAATGTATCAGTTTTCCAAATATTTTACTAAAATCCATTATAATATTTCTAAAAATTCATATCTATAAAGTTTTATGCTTGAATATGAAATTCACAACATAAGATCAGGATTAAATAAATTCAAGATTTTGCATTGTTTTTCAATAAATAAATTTTAAAAATAATCATTTTACATCTTCCCACAAATTCTCATTAACTTCCTCAACGATGAAAATAACATCCTTATTTTTGTATTCGTGTTTACTCTACAGAGAATGAGTCATTTGTTTCCAAAGAAGAGGAAAATTTTCTTCGATATTTTCTGGGAATTGGTATCGCAGAAAAGGCAGTGAGAATGTGGTTTGATACTATTATTCCACCAGATGAGTTAGATAATCATCTAAAAAAGAATAAAAATAAAAAGGAACTGTGGAAGAATTCCAACGAAGAACAGAAATCGACTTTATTTCCACGTACGATTTTGAATGTGTCAAATTAAATTTAGGGTTTTTCCCCCTTATCTATAGCAATGCAGTGCTTCAACACATGTAATTATACCTCTACTGATTTTTCACTACACTGTATATGCATGTAAAATTAAATCGATTTATTTTGCTGATTTCCTGAAAATAATCGTGCATAAACCGATTACCTGCAAAACCGACGGATACCCTGCAAAAAAGTTCGTTTTTTATGAACTGATATACATCTATTTAAACACTTATCATTTTCTTTAAACTTACGCTTACTTTAGAAATACTCATGAACATTCATTAATGAATCGAAATGCATCGCAAGTCAACTGATCCCATATCAATATAAATCAAAAGTTTACTGGAATCAAACGACAACAGAAATGGCGAGTTCAAGATTTGCGGTTTTTGCAGATTTAGGTTTATCGGTATAATAAAACAGTTCAAGTATATCATTGAGGGCATCAGCAAGACCCCAGCTCCTCTCGAACAAGACTATTTCCCTCGGCGCAAACGCGCAGGGAAATAGCCTTGCTTTTGGGAACTGGAATCTTGCTGACACCCTCAATGATACACTTTAACTATATATTTATTTCGTGTTTTCATGTTTAAGATCTAACATCGAAATAATGTTTTTCGTAGTACTTTTAAATATAAAAATATTTTTGAAATAATACAAACGGTGACATATAACTGTTTCATTATGACCAAAGAGAAAAGTTTGTACTTGAAATAGAAGCAATGAAATTTTTTACTGTGCTAAACTTAATTTAAAATCTTTATAATGAAAAAATACGAGCATTTTTAAAAATGGCTTTACTCTAAACACGTAAAGGATCAAGCTATGGTAATATATATCTTTGCTAACTAGCCTCTGTTTTGTACAGGATATGGAACAGTAACATCAACAGATTTTGACGTGTCATTGCTGTACAAAGTAATAAGAAAAACGACAAAAGTTAGAAAACCGACAAAAGATTGGGGAGAAACTCCAGATCCCATGGATAAAAAAGCATCTGACGATTTGGAACGAGTTCGAATCTATCAAAACTCATTTTACCATGGCCTTCAGTCAATTAGCGACATTGAATTTGAGAAGAAATGGAAAGAATTAAAGGAGGTAAATTATTTTTCTTTGTCAGTTTTATATTTACCGAGTACAAATGGTCATATTGATTTTTGAATAATTTATTGGAATTCTTCTGCTCTCTCTCTCTCACATAACATGCACATCATTAAGATTTTTGTTAACTTTTGATTAAACAATTCTGAAAAAAATTCAGTGATTTAATTTCTTGAAAGAATGACTTCCAAGTTATTTAAGGAATAACTGTCTTATTTTTCGAATTCATGAAGTGATCAATGGATTGGCTTGTGTGATAATTTGCATAAACGCCGAAGGCGTTTATGCATAAAATTATCACACAAGCCAATCCATTGATCATCTTCATGAATTCGAAAAATAAGACAGTTATTCCTTATATTTACATGCTTTGATTCCGCCAATCCACGGGCTCCAAGCCTGCTTCTCTCTAGGTGTTGTCCCGCCCTGCACGTGGTTTTTTATTTGGAACCGTGGCAAAACATTCATGAGGAAATCAATTACATTTACAATTGGTAATTTTATCTCGAACAAAGACAATGGAAATGTAAATATTTCATAATAAAATTCTATAAGCCATGTGATTTTTTTCTAATGGAAGATGCATGTGAATAATAAATTAGAAAAAAACCCAGAATAGTGTGCATCGTATTTGACAAATTTTAGAAAAGTGTTGAAAAAAAGGATGTTTTTTTTTAAATTAAGATGTTTTATCTTAAAAGCAACATAAACTTTCCATGTAATTTAAAGAATTATTATTGTCAAAATGAATATCATATCAAAATCATTAAAATATACCATGCTTTATATAAATCTTTGTAATCTATACTATGAAAAGAATATGCATTTTTATTAAATCTAAGATCTTGAAAATACATCACGTTGTATGTAAACCCTTAACTCGTGTAATCCACACTATCGGAAAACTACACACTTTTCCTGATCTTCACTGTCAAGATACGATAAAATGTTATTTAAAACGTAAGAATATCATTATCTGTAATGTGCGTAGAATTTCGAAAATACAGACGATTGTTTTTTTTTTAACTTCTTTGATCTTCGCTGTGACAATTCACTTTATATAAATTTTATAAACTTAAACTTACAAAACTTGAGTACATTTCGTCATTCTCTTTCGTACATTTTTTTTTATTAATTCTGACCTGAAAATAAATATTTAAGAGATTGAAAGAGAAATAATCATTTTGTTAAGAAAAAAATCAATTGTTGTAAGAAATTCACACAATCCAACTAATTTTCCAATAGATGTGTGGTGCATGGAACCTTGTAAAGTTCATATGTTCTTTTGTCCCTGAAAGTGCACCAGACTTCAATTGATTGAATTTTAGCTTCTTAGAGTTAAAGTTGGAAAATACGAGGGTTGTCCGGTAAAATCGTGGACAAATTGTCTCGCGTGAATAATAATCATCACTTCATTCTGAATTTTTCACTACTCCTTAGTACAAAAAACTATATGCGGTATATTGCATATATTTGCCCCCACAAAAGTCAAATTTTGAAAACTTCCTGAAATGCGCTGAATTCAATAAATTGTATTAGAAATATAAATAAACAGAACGTATTATAGTTTCAAAGCAGTTAATTCACAATTTTTGTTTTTATGACGTCACAAACTAGTCCGATTTTATATCCTTTTTCAGAAAGAGGACAAAATGGACAAAATTTCAACAATTTTAGCTTTCAAACTCATAGAGCGCAAGTTTGTTCAGGAACAATATTTACATATTTCATTTATATTATCATTCTACACATTATATCAAAATATCGATCCTGAACACATATGCGCTCGGTAACTTTAACTTAAAAAATCGACGAAATATGTACATTTTTCTGTAAAATTCATGAAAAACTGAAATTTACGCCATGTTTGTGACGTCATTACGTGCACATGACGTCATTACTTATGAAAATATTCAGTACTTTGAAGTCAGCATATATTCCCCTGTTTAAGAACTTAAGGTGGCTCAATACATCCACAGTTTATTTTAGATTTCAATACAGCACCACTTATAATGTAGATGTCAAATATCCAGATGGGGGTATTGATATCATAAATATTTTTTATAGAATTTTTTAGTTTTTGTTTTATTTTAGTGAAATGTTTTATTTCAGGTTTATTATTCACAGAATTTCAGAACTTTCAGTGTCAAATGATGGGCATCTTCTTAAGACAAGTGCACAAAGTGAAAATACCTCATAATACCTGATAATAATTTTATTAGAAAAAATAATTTACTCCTAAAAAACAATTAATGTCATTATCTTTTTAATCTATGCATAAAACGTTTAAAAAGTGTGTTCTGAAGAGACAAGGAATGTATTTCAATGAATTACATGTGTCAAATTGAATGAAGAATGTTTAAACGAAATGAAAAATCCAATTTAAAAAAAATATTTGGTACAAAAAGTCCACTTTCAAGAGTTATCTTTCCTAATTAGCCAAGACTCAAAACACTATGGAACGTTTGACATTACATCTGAAATCCATATTAAAGCTTTAAATTGCCAGAGCATACATTTAAATCAATAAAACAAATATATAAATTAACACCAACACAGTAAATAGTGCAATTAAATAACGTTTTAATTTGAACAAGGTTGTAGATATTAACTCGAATTTCTTCCATACATAAATGTCAGTAATTAATAGAGCTCACTGAATGCATGGCTATGAAATTGACATTACTTGTTTGGCGAAGATTTGACTGTTGTTTTCTTTTGTTTCTGCCTAAAAGCAATTCTTCTTGGTTTATGCATAATGAATCCGTTACTTTGTTTTCACTGTTTACAACACCGCATGTTTCATCTATTTTTAAAGCGTTTTAAAGGTCAGGGTCATATTATAGAGGTTCCTACACTACTCGTTCCCTGAGCAAACCGGCCGACACAATGGAGGTTTAGTTTTTTTGTGTAGTACGTCATCAAAAAGTGGTGTAATGAGCCTCCTTAATTAAATATATCTCCATCAAAGTTTGATTTGGGGGGCAAATATTGGTTATAACCGAATAAAGTTCTTTTCTGAATAAAAATAGCAAATTTCAACGAGATATGCATAAATAAACGAATTATGAGATTTTATGTTATGTATTGCATCGCCTTCCGGCGCAAATATAATAACGTCAAAGTGTGTCATTAACAGTGTTAGGTACCTTAAGTTTCATCTTTGCGCTAAAAAAAAATAAAGTTGGATAAGTCCCAAATATCACCATTTTCTATGTGTTGTGTTAACCACTTTCCCATTTCGAATGTTCAGGAAACTGCCAAAAATTGACCAAATGCCTTGAAATATTTAAAATTACTACAATATAAATTGTGGAATCGAATAAGGATAATTTTTACCCTAATCTTATACATTCAAATCTTTTATTTCAAATCAATACTCATGTATTCTCTTATAAAACCTTCGTTTTTTGACCGTGCGCCGTAGGACCTTACCCTGTGCATATTCAAGCATTATAAAATCTTTATTTTCGTCTATATTTTATCCAAAAAATTATAATGCACTTAAATATGGTAAATAAACATTTACTGAAAATTTCAGCTCATTACATCCCTTATTTTTCGAGAAAAACGCTTTGTCCACGATTTTATCGACAACCCTCGTACATGTACGTTGACATCAAATATAACAAAGGCAGTGATGTAATCATTTTATATAAAGATCATACAGAGACTTGCTGGAGGTCTATTAGATGGAGAGATGGATTCCATACAACATAAAGATTTAGATCACTCAGCACGGTCCTCTGTTAAAAGAAGCCTGGCAGATTTGACAAAAAGACTTCAAAATGTGGAAAAACGCGTCGAAGATCATATTCCAAAACACATTAGAGGTACAAACTGTCTTTAAAATCACAAATATGGCTTAAAATTGATTAATGATTTTAAATGGAAGGAAAAAAACTTTTTTTCATTCTTTTTTTCTTCATTTTGCTTTCCCAGCTGCCTACTCGCACAATTTTTCCAATTCAGCAAAGTTAATCAACTTTATTTTTTGAAATGAATGTAGCTCTGTGTTGAGGGTTTTTGTGCGTGAGTGAGGAGAGGGTGAGGGTGTGTTACTGTGTGTGTAAATAACCCAGAAATTTTTAAAGAGCATTTTTTTCCCTCAGAACAACAACATGACGAAATACGAAAGTGGAGAGAAGATGACAAGCTTTTTACGAGAGTTCCTGCTTATCAGTCAGTTCATGATAAACTCAAGTCCTTGCCTTTTGTGACAGTGACTGGTAGTGTTGGTAGTGGAAAAACGTTACTTATTCGTCACATCGCTCTGGAGCTTGCACAAGAGGGATATGAGATCATTCCAGTCTCAGCAATTGAAGAGATCCCCCTTTATGGAAAATTACAATCCAAGCAATTATTCGTTATAGATGACGTGCTAGGCGTTGACGGTCTAGAAATGGATTTATATAACAATCTAAGCAGACAGTCTGAAAATGTGTTAAGCTTATTAGAGTCGGGATCTAAACTAATCATGAGTTGCAGATCTGTTGTGTTTAAGAAGTCCAAACTTTTGAATAGTTTTGTTACATATGACAATCATGTCATCGATTTAAAGAATGACGAAAATGAACTCAATGATGAAAGAATATGAGAGCTTTACGATGAAAGCAAAAAGGATGTGTCAGGTAAACATTATTTACAGAATTATACTTTGAAGATTTGAATCTACCTAGAAAATTACACATGTTGTCATTTTTATGTATATTACTAGTATTTTGAAATTTTTTTTCCTCCATCCATATTTTCAGAACTTGATGAAATGCCAGTGCTTAACAAATAACATTAAGCACGATTGGTGTAATGTGTCGTCAAAGAAAATTGTGTGTTTTGAGAATACGTGGACGATAGATTTCCCCAAAATTAGCATGTACACTGATTGATTAATTGTATATTGTTTAACGTCCCTGTTTAGAATTTTTCACTCATATGGAGACTCCACCACTTGCCGATGAAGAGCTTCAATTTTTTTCCTATACTCGGCACTCAGGGCCAATGATCAGGGAGGGATCTTTTTCGTGCCAGCACCTACTGCAACACGGGGACTCGGTTTATACGGTCTCATCCGAAGGACCAGTCTCCACGTCCCACAGTGGGATTCGAACCCGCAACGTATGGATTGACTCCTTACTTCGCGACTCTAAACACTTAGCCACGCAGGCGCATGTACGTAAACACTGTGGTTAGTGTTAGTTATATACGGTATCAAAATGAAGAGTTTCGCTATTGTAGATTCCACACAATAAAACCTAAGTCGGCTCCCTTAAGGCAACAGTATATTTTTGACACACACATAGAAGGTAAAAAAAAACTTTTTGATGACATTACATTTTTAGGGCACAATCAAGGCAAAACCAGACTTTCTTCTTTGTTCTGACGAATACGAAATTCGATCGGACGAATTAGAAATTCGTTTGGACAAATTAGATATTTGTTCCGACGAATTTGAAATCCTTCCGAAGAATAAGAAATCGGTTCAGACGAGTTAGAAATTCGTACTAACAAATGCAGTATTTGTTTAGACGAATTAGAAATTCGTTCGGACGAATAAGATATTTGTAGGAACAAATTTGAAAATTGTTTGAACGAATTGGATATTAGTAAGGATACTTTCGGACAAATTGGATATTTATACGGACCCTCCTCCCTTATTTGAGAGGTAGTCGGACAAATTATTGAATTTCACTTGCAGCATTTCTAAATTTTGTTTATACGGTTTTACAATACCAGTTCGAAAGTTAAATAGACTAACGACTCACTAGTAAGGGAACATTATAAAAAAAACCCACACCATTTATGTAGAAAATAAATAATGAATAAATGCATGCAAGAATATTTTCAGACAAGTAAGCCCCCCCCCTTTTAAAAAAAATCAGTTGTCTATATTATTGCAAAGTTTTCTTTGCATTAAATTTAGTGTGTTTGTACTTTTAGGTTTAACTGCACAAATACGAATTCATTTAATTTTCTTTAATTTATTTTTTTAGGGGAATGGGGTTATAATTTTGTTAAAATTACCTGTATGTTTTAGATTTATTATTACATAAACTCATGTACTTGTAATGATATTTGAATAAAGAATAAAATTAAGATTAATGCTTAATATTATATAAATTTGTGTGAAATATCGTCACTTGATTGGTCAATTATTCTTTGATAATGACCACTGAAAACAAATAATGACTTGCACGAGCTACGTCCTATTCATGCTTCGGTAAAACATAAATACGAAAGTTGGCAAGTTTGCGGAGGAAGATTTAAAAGATATAGTGAAAAATCTCAGGCTACAAATACGAATATTTTTTAACATTTCCGGGAATACTTTATTAAGTAGCACATTTTATGGTTGAATTCGACAATTCACTTGATTGGCGAGCCGAGTTTTGACGCTGTTTATTGAGACTTAGTAAAAAAAAAAAAAAAAAAAAAAAAAAAAAAAAAACAAGCATCCCATAGCATATGGTTGTGTCGATAAATTATCGTGGAAGACTTATGTATTAACTTTTTGTCAGTGCATTTCCCCCTGCATGTGTAAACGAAAGCGATTCGGGGGGTACTCGGTGTTATTCGGAGTTAGATGTGTTATTATTATGCTATGGGTTAATAATTTATCACAGAAACAAGTGCCTGTGAGTAACATTCAATAAATTCTGAAACATTCACATTCAACGTATAATGGTTTACAACAACAGCATATCACTAGCTCTGTAAACATTAGGAAGATATACATTTATCTAAAGAAATTGGTAAATGTACTAGAAAGTCATTACGAGTAATGAGAAGGTCTTCCGTTAGTCTTTTCTTACTTCGGTGTTAGCTAAAATTTATGTAGAAGCAAAAATACTTTTAAAAATCACTTTTTTACATCACTTCCTGTCTCGAACAGAATTAATGACGACACACGATTTTCACATGATGTAAATAATTTGATGACTGACTATCAGTCCTGAAGGTTTTATATTTTAGTCATTTACTGTTACTGAGCCATTGTGACAACAAATTCAATATGAGGACAGCAAAACACACGACCGGAAATGAATTGTTTAAAAATTTTCTGACATTTCTCTATACATTTGTAGTTTCTACAACATATATAAAAACATATTTCAAAACACGAAAGAGATGCAATAAAGTAATGTCAGCTATAATTTTACAAAGAAAAGTTTTGTTTTTTTTTATTTCTTTGATCACTTCCTGTGACGACTGGAAGTGACAGCTGACGCGTTTTCTCCTGTATGTTTCGCTCCTCTTCAAGGTCTTTCACTAAGGTAAGTTTTGTGTTTTAATCTATTGCTGTTTCCGAGATCTCGCTCACATAACTTCTCATTTTGAGGACATGAAACACGCGACCGGAAGTGAATTTTACAAAGATATTTGACGTTTTTCTAGACATTTGCAGTTTTAATAACAATGAGATATCTAAATCATTTAAAATACTTTATCTATAAGTGATATTTATGGGAGAGTTAAACATCAAAATAAATATATTCATCTCTCAAAACCGGAAGTTGATGTCTTTATTCCCTCTGGAATGTAACATGTTTCTAAAGATCAAAAGAGAATCACTGATGTGATGCAGGTTTTAATCCTAAACAGAAAAGATTTTTTTTATTTTTCTGATCACTTGTGTGGCGACCGGAAGTGACGACTGACACATTTAACCCTATATCTTTTGCCTAATCCTCTAGGTTAATTTTTCATTTTTGAATAGTTTGGTTTCTTGATTTCTTACTGTTTCCGAGATCTAGCTATGATACTTCTTATTTTGAGGACAGGAAATCGTACGACCGGAAGTGAATTTTACAAGGATATTTGACTTTACTCTAGACATTTGCAGTCTGAATAATATATCCAACAAACATTTCAAATACTCTATATACAACAGATATTTATGGGAGAGTAAAATACTCAATTTACATGGTTTTTCTCTTATAACCGGAAGTTGCCGTTTTTGTTTCCGGTGGTACTGACATATTTCGAAACTGCAAATAAGATGCAATAATGTGATGCCAAGAAGGATTCAAAAAAGAAAAGTTAAAATTTTCAATTTCTATGATCACTTCCTGTGACGACCGGAAGTGATGGCGGACAATGTTATCCCAAATGGATTTGATATCAAGATCTATCATCCCTGAAAGTTTGGTGTCTTAATCTCTTACCATTTCTGAGATCTCACTCGGATCAAATATTTTTGAAAAAAGCAGAAATCGAACATATCTGACGACCGGTATAACGTTGAATATTGACCCGAGTTGAAAATTGACCCGAGTCTCATTTTTCAACGTTGAATATTGAACCGAGGGTGTTTTTTCTCCGTGAAAATTGAGACCAAAACTCGTTGAATTTATACCCGGGGTCATTTTTCAACAGCTTGATATTTTTTTTTCTTATCTCTGATGACCTTAACATGTTGAAAATTGACCCTGTTGAATATTGACCCCACCTCAGAGTTTGAACATTTTTTTAAATGGGAAGTTCTTTTACGGGATTTATCAGTATCTCTCTATATATATTTTGGTTTTAATGTTTTGCCTTTTAAAGAATAATAGAAATAAACCTATCATCCCGTGTATATATGTGCATTTTGATCAGTACACGATATCAATTATCTTCAAGCATGACAACATTATATTTTGACAATACTTTTAAAATTTATAGCATCCATAAATAACTACAAAACTATTAATAGGACATAAAACAAAACTCCTGGAATTCTGTGGTCCTTTTCACAAAGAATCTTACGACTAAGACAAAAATTTCACCACTCTGTAGTTTTTTATTGAATAAAGATATTTTTTCAAAATAATTAATTAAAATGTAATCATAAAATATCATATAATGTAACAGAAAAATAAGATTTTCGCAACTTAGATACTTTTCTAGAAAGGGGGAAAGTTTTAGTCTTAGTCGTAAGATTCTTTGTGAAAAGGGCAGCTGCAGGTGTCTAGAAAGTGAGCCCTATATATATTGATCAGGTAGGCAGAACATTCCATCTAATCGAATGCAGAATTAAAATTAACTAGAACTTGTCGTAAACCCAATCAAATAGGAATGACATGTTTAACATGATTATAGAATATAAATCATTTTATTTTCAAATGACAAAATTATCGAATATGTATCATATATTTTGGAATAGGTTAACAACTTAAAGGTGTTGAATTCTCGAACAAAAAACAAGAATAACAGATTTTCGAATAGGAATCATATTTTATCGAACAGGAATGACATGATTAAGAAAAAGAAAATCTAAATTTTTGAATAAGAATAAGAATATCAAAAAAGTGTAATAATGCAACGTTTTACCCGCCATACCATAAACAGATGATAGCGGAATATTACTTTACAAATAAGGAAAAAAAGATGAAGAAGAAATCATTTCTTTTCTTATACAGTATAGTTTCAGTGGGCCTTCATTCCATTGTCAGTAATTCTTCCAAACATGAAACAGTTGCGGCACATCCAGTGGTGACTTTAATTCAAAGTTCACTGGGATAAAGTCGACATATGAACTAAAGTAACTTTATACCTGATCATACGTCATCGGTGTACCTAAATATTGAGTTGAACGTGAGGCGGGGGGGGGGGGGGGGG